GTTCATTTGTATTATTGTTTATTTTTATTTTATTGTTTTATTCTCTATTTCTTCATTCAGTATATTTATTTTATATCTTATTTCAATTGAATTATTCTCATCATTTGATTATTCATTTATTAATTCATGTTTATTTTGTATTTTCTTATTTAAAATATATTTCATTGTTATCTGTTGATTAGTTGTTATTTTATCATTATAAATAATACATCATTTAATTTCTTATTTGATGTAATTATTAATTTGTTACATTTCAAATAAATATATAATTTTCTTTCATTAATTCCATTATTTATATTCATTTCTTTTTATATTATTATTCTTCATTATTTTATTTTGTTAATTTTTTATCATTTCATGATTATAATATCAATATTATTTCACCATAACTTCTTTTGTTATTCTCATAATAATATTAATTAAACATTCTCTCTGCATAATGATATTTGTAGTTATACTAATTACTTTTATTTTTATTATAATTATGTTTAAATAAGAATTAATTTTATGACATTTGTAATTATGATAATTAGTAATAATATGATTATTGAATATTTGTTTGATAATGAATATAATAATTATATCAATGATAATGTCATCTAAATTTATTTGTTAGTATAAATTATTTCTATGTAAGTTTCATGACATTCATGTAATGAAGGAAATAATTTAAAAGAAGAAAAGAAAATATAAAGAGAAAAATAATTTTTTGGATAAATAACAAAGAAATAAAATCATCAATCAATTATTTCTTACTCATTTTTTTTTCTTTCTTTGACTCTCTCAAAGCTTTAGGTAATTTAATTTTCTTATTTAGTTGTTCTAAGTCTTCACCAATAGCATGTACTCTTCCAATAGTTTGTCCAAACATATCTTTTGAAACATTCTTCTTTTTCTTTGGTGCAACAAGTTCTTGTGGAATTTTCATTGCTTCTTCTCTCATATCTTCAGCTCCAAATTTGTTTCTACCAGGTACCATGACAATACGAGGTCCAACTTCATGGCTTTCAATAGAAGTTGATGTAGCTTTAATATAATAAACAGTCATATAAATTTTTCCTTCCACAACAGTAAAAACCATCATTGCAGTTAATTCATCGACAACTAACTTCTCATTAACGTCATTGTGATAAAAATCAATTATCATATTCTTAAACATTTTAAATTCTTCATTTGTTTCAAATTCTGATCCATTAAAACTATACATTAATCGTGTTGCTGAAGGAGGTTTAACTCCTTCAAATTCATGAATTGGTTTATATTCTTTAACTAACATTTCCTCCATATCTAATACATGTCCATCAAACATACGAACAAATGTGAGACAATTTGGTCTTTTCTTATTATGTGACATAATAACAAGAAGTGATGCATCTCTTCCAGTACTATAAACTTCTAATGGTCTTTCATCTTCAAATGGAAGAATTTCATGTTTATGATTAAACTTTATAACATGTGGTTTTTTATATAACGCAAGGTCTTCACAAACATCTGTTAAAATTTTACTTGTATTCCTTCCTTTTATAAAAATAGCAGTTTTTGTATTTTCAATTACTTTTGGCTCTTTCCTTTCAAGTCGTTTCCATCCTTTCTTACGATGAAATGACTTCTTTGGTTCACTTGTTGTGCTCATTCAATTATTCTTATTTTGTTCTTTAAAAAAAGGGTTTTTAATAACAATTTTTATTTTTTATTTGTGTTTTTCTTTTTATAAAATAATCTTTTTTCTTAAAAAACAAAATAAAAAAAA